CACATGATAAGTAAGTGCAGCAGAGTGTAAAGGCAGCCCTGCAGGTGCAGTCTTCGTAAGTGAGGCCCAAATGAAAGGTAAAAATAATGGTAGCTTGAAGACTTAACCATTAATCCTCTTTATAATGTGGTTCAACAGTGTAAAATGACTCTGGAAACAGAAGAGCACTGCTTCATATTCAGCCATTCAATAACTTTCATGTCAAATCTGATTGGTTTATTAGTAAATAAATACTTTCTCCCAACTCCCTGCTCTGCAGAATCTGACAGTCAGGACACCTCCCCCACCCCCCTTTTCCCCTCATCAACAATAAAGCCTTTGTAGTCAGATCCTGGTTAATAAATCTGTTAATGATTCACAAGCCACTATAGAATCCACCTCGCACTCCCATAGTTTCCCAAATATGCAAATGTGGATAAGATGTAAGGGCTATGTGCTAATCAGGTCACAGCTTTATTTACTTACTTAAGGTGAGAATACCTGGAATGGCATGAATCAGCATTCCTTTCTTCACTATATCTATCATGTGGAGGACTGCTGTTAGCTTCACTCTACTCTTTGCAGCTGGTCCTCAGCCTATGGATGGGAATCTGCTGGTCTCTCCTTTTACGATTCGAGCAACTGACTAGCTCTGCTAAGGGATGTCTGTCCTTAAATCCACTCTATCAAGGTGCAAGAAGGGACCAGCTTGGAGGAAAGGCTTTATTCTAATCTCCCTTGGTGCACAAAGGCCAGTGTCTTACATGAGCCTTACCCACCCTACCAATGCCTTCCCCAGCTTTCTGGCAGCCTCTCTCTGCCAGTCATCTCTAGGTCTTTTCCCACCGTTCCATAGAAAGAACTTGCCTTCCACTTTTGTGGCTGTAAAGTTGCATTCTGCAGAGTTGACAGGAGCAGGTTACTTCTGTTTCTGTGTTTCAGTTATCACAGAGGTGTTGCTAGCTAAACCCTTCACAGCCCACCACTAGGCAGGGCAGACAGACTTACCCGCCTAATACTTCATGCTGACACACCGAGTAACTTGCTGTCACCTCTGCTTGTTTGACATTCACTATGCGATGCTCAAAAGGTGCAGGAGGAGGAGGGCTGTCATCTAAATGGGAGAGAGTTCATTCATTCCTTTGGATTTCCACAGACAGCTGCACATTATCTTATAGTTTCCCAGGAACGTTTTCACTTCCCAGGATTCAACTTTACCACAGCACCCAGGCACAGCAAAACACAAAGGAGGCCAGAGCCACTGTAGTCGTGGACATCTAGAGCTCCCCACTAGAGTTCTCCTGCCACCTTGAATATTGCTGTCCCTGAAAGTGCAACCCCCAAAAGCCGTTATTACCTCTGAAAACTGTCTTGCTGCAACAATATTGAGAGTCTGTTTTCTAGGGAAAAGGACAGTTTTCCCCAACATCATCTTTCTGTACAGCGGTGGGTAAATAGCATGCAAGGGCAATACTAGTGGGAAAGACAAACAGCTGAATAGTTTAGACCCAGCCAATTATGATGATCTTATAGCCACATTAAAAATTAAGTCAGGAAACTTTAACAGGCCTCTCAATATTCAACCATTTTCTCTTTCTTAGGTCCCAGGTCATCCTGAAAGCACCTAGGTACATGGTATAAGATTAAGCATAAAAAATTCCCCTTTGTCTTAAGTAAAATAATGCCATCACTAGGACTGTTCAAGTGCTTTACTGGATCAGGAACTAGATTTAATTATAGTATTTTGCACTTCCTCTGTACCTTTTTTCCAAGGACCTATATTAAGTCTCAATGTCCTGTGGGAGTAGAAAAGTATTACTATCCCTCCTTTGCTGACAAGAACTAAGGCAGAACCTTGGGAACAGGCTTCTCATTTCCTGGCTTCTACTCCCTCTTTACCCAATGTAATAAATTAACTAATTAAATTAATATAGTAAAAACCTCCTAATCAGGACAATCCCATCAGCTCAACAGCTTATTTATCCAGTAAGAGAAGCAGCCATGTAAGAAAAAAAAAAGCGAAGTACTGTACTAAATACAAATACTGCAAAAACAATTACATTCACATATTTACCACATTTGATCTTCTTGAATATTCATTTGGCTAGGAAAAGGCTAGGCTTAATATTTCACACCTATCTACAAACTCCAATTTTAGTTAATTTGGCATCAGCAGGGTGCCTCTCCACGGTTTTTGCTAATATAATGTTCTGATTAAGCAGTAAGTATTGCTGTTCCCCATCATCAAGGTAATTTCCTCCCTAGGGAGATGTCCCAATAAAGTAGTGGATCCAACTAAGTGTGACTCAATTAAAACAGACAGATCCTGAAGTTGTTCTAGGAGCAGAACTCCCAGTGACTCCCCAGTTCCTCATGCAAAGCCAGTGCCAGACGGGACACCCCAGAGCACTGTCTGTAATGCAGAACATGTTTAACGTACAAATGCTACACTAAAATTCCACTTGCTCACAGACATTTACAACACCCAGACACTACAGTGGGGCCCAAATTTTGATTTGCAGGTCTCTGTGTAAGTGCCTGGATACAGAAATGATGGAGGAACCAAAGTATCATCAGAAAGAGACTTACAGTCAATGATGTAACAAAGAACAAAATATGCAACCTTGCCTGTACCCACTACACCGCGTACCTGTGGTTGCTGCCATTCATTTGCTGTCTTGCCCACTTATCTTATACAATACAGACTTTTATTCATATGAATAAAATAACTCTTTTCATCTACATACAATCAACCTAATTTCTTTTTTAAAAGACCGTTATTCCAAAAATGACCATTAAGTAGAATCAGAAATTCAAAAAGACATTTATTCTCACTGTGCAGCTGACAGGAAACTTAAAAAGCAAATCTCTTGAATGCAAATACAGCTGTCTGTGCAGCCAAATGTACCTTTGGGTGCTGAATACCTACTCTCAAACTGTAACAAGTCCAATGAGCACAGTCTCAGATGTTATCATGCATAACATGCGCAAGCAGCACAGAAATCTCAGTTCAAGAGTCTCCAGGTGTTGTGAGGTACTTACCAATAATCACTTCATCCTGCTTGGCCAATGCTTTGCTGGTTTCTGTTGATTTAGTGTTTTCTGTTGCTTTTCCTGTATGTTGATGTGCCTCACTCTCACTTCCTCTTAAAGATGCATTTTCTAAATCTACTTCTGCCCTCTCAGGCTTAGCATCCTTTGTGGAGCCTTGTGTTGTTTCATCATGACTTTTTAATGTGGCTCCAGGATCTTTCTTAGTATCGTTTGGAGTTGTGCTCTGAGAGGTTACAGACTTGCATTTCAACTCAGATTTTCCATCAGTCTTTTTATCTGCTGTAGGCTTGTTCAATAGCATCTGTGGCTTCCCTAACTGGAGAGCCTGTTCACTCTGTTTATTATCAGGCTTCACTCCTTTTACTTCCTGAACTGGGTCAGGTCTGGTGTTTTTAGGGCACTGTTTATGTTGAAACTTGTCTGACATAAGTGTAACTCTTTCCACTTCTGAGGATGAGGAGAGAGATTTGATTTGGGGATTTCTATGTCTATGATCTCCTTGGCTTCCATCCTTGGTTGTCACCGTCTTTTGTTGGGCTTCAGTCATCTGAACGTTGATGGAAACCCTACAGAGCAAACATTCTCCACTTTAGACAAACAAACAGCTTTCTTTACTAAGCTTAGCAGAAAATACATATATATTACATTTTAAACCCCAATGTCTAGAACAATTTCTCTGCTAAAAATATCAGATACTGAAACTACAAAATGATAATAAGGAAAGCCAGCTCCTTCCATCCTGCCAAAGGAAATTTACAATCCAGTGAAAACTCTCAGCCACCAAAAAAATAATAATAATTTTTTAATATGCTAGTTTTTGTATACATCTGCCCTCTGCTGGGCACAAAATATATCACATCTGTTCCAGTATTACCAATGTCTGTGTTAAGGGGTGCAACATAAATTATACTGAGGTCACTTGCAAGGCATGAGCACACTTTTCAGGGGAAGCCACTAATAGTGAGATTCACTCTGACAGGATGTAAGCAGTTAATTTGCAAGTGGAAAAACAGACTGTGTATGCACACAGATGTGCAGAATAAGGCATCATTGTAAAGTCAGAACATAGGACTCTCAGTTTTGCTTTTTAAAGCTTTTTTCTTCAATAAGGTTGTTTAAATAAAGAATAAGATGGATCACGATGGTAGCCTGGAGTGGGAGGGGAGTACTTGTTGCCCAGTTGTGCACAGAGTTGGTAGATGGCATACAGCTGGTGTATAGTGTAGTTGGTAACTACATACACAAGTGACCAGGTAGATGTCTATTTGCCTGGGCTTTGCATATACAGTTCCAAAAATCGAGTCCATCTGAAGCTAGCTGACAAGAGGCTTGCAACTTGGGAATTGTGGCTTGTTATTGTGTATTATTCCTATCACAGCCTGGAACCAAAAATATGAAGTTGTACAACTGAATTCTATAGGATCTTTCCTTCAGTTAAAGATATTTTCTTTGAGGCAAGGATTTTTTAGGGTGATATCTTTTATTGGACCAACTGTATGAGTGGGATAAAGTCAAATGAGCTTTCAAATACAAGGCGTTGTTCCTCGGGTAATTTCTTTAGCATTCTAGACTCACTGGGAAACTGTTCTGCATTAATCTGGAGTTGCTCAACGATCATGGGGATTATAACAAACTTGCTATATTCCATATTTGTGTAAGAGCTGGTTATACAGCTACTAAACTCAGGGCCAAAACCTGCTGCTGTGACTTACATGAATACTCCACCTCATTTCTTTGGGACTTGCAGGCATTCATGTGGGTTTACAAACTTGGGCTCAAGATGTTACATAATTTTTTTAAAAGAATGCATCTACCTACTTTCCCCAAATTACTATAATTCTCAGTAGAACTCAGTTTAAAATATTGCTCCTCTTATAAAAGATGCTGAAAAGAAATTTTTCTACATTTTGCATAACAAATCCTGCATTGTTCACTCATACTTCAGGCATCTCCGAGTTATTTACAGGATAATCCCTCTGTAATGTATTAGGAATCTGAAGTTCAGTAGCAGTGAGCTATGAAAGCAGCTTGGAGCAAATACTTCTCTTACTAGCTAGACAAGCCTGAACTCGAGAAGGAACCTTGGGCATTTCTCCAAACAGCAGAACACTGTTCTTTTTACATTTCTGCATCCGTCTTTTGAGTTCATTGATAGCTGCTTCCCTCTAACAGAACAGAATCTGGCCTACTCTGACCTCACGCTCTTAAAAAAAAAATCTTAATGAGTGCCTTATTTATGGAGAAATTAATGCCCAAAGACAGGAAGATTTATCATCTTCTCACATTCCTATTACAAATAAAAACATGCTGTAAAACACTATCTGATTTATAATGAAACTGTAATTGAAGCTGATCTGAATGCACTTTTTTTTCCCCACTTCCCAGCTCTTGTGTTCAGGGGGTTTCCACATATTCCCCCACTCCATGCATTTAGCATTTGTGGAGTGCACTAGTAAGACAACTCTACAATTTTCTTCTACTCAGCCACAGAGCAAGAAATGGCAATGCAAGCTTCCCCCATTTCATCCTGCTACAGCCTTGCACCAAGCTCCTCCTACAGGTAAAGGGAATGATAGTCTCCAGGCCTTTCCCTAAATTAGCCTTTCTTACAAAGGTGCCAGTCACTGCCCCTTGCACTAATGTTTTCTTCAAACGTGGATCCCTGTGTACAGACACCTAGACAGAGATGATGTCTTTTCAGTTTATTAATTTGGTTCTTCAGTGTCCAAATGCTTGTATTGCATTGAACTGGGACTTCTCCCTCTTGCAAACCGCGGTCCCAGTTGCAAGCAACAATCCCATTACATCTTTTATATGGCAAAGCTTAAAATTAAACTAGTCTTACCTACGACACAGACAAACAAAATTACTGAGGGCTCAGAAGGTAAGCAACAAGGTATTGTAAATTAAACTGATCAAAAACAGTCCAACCCCTGAATTTGTGTCAAACACTAATGCAATTATATCTTCAGTCAATGTCAGATGGTAGAAATACCTCTGTTGGAAAAAAGGAATTTATAAAGTCCAGTTAAATGAGTAAATCAGATTCTTATCTCCCTGACTCAAGTCACCTCTGTTGCATTAATGTAGTACATTATTAGCACTTTTTAAACGTTAAACCTTGTTGGAATATGCGAGGGACCTAAGGTGACTCTAGATCTTCAGTTAGTTCCTGTTCTTATATGGCTGGCTTTCTACAGGGTCACAGCCAGGAGTCTTCCTGCCTTTGGGCATTAATTTCTCCATAAATAAGGCACCCATTAAGATCAAAGGGTTCTTTTGTCTTTTTTAACACCTGAAATGTTTCTAACCACACAGAAAAGTTACTGATTGGGCCCTTACCTTGTGCGTATCACTTTATATTCTATTCCAGACACAGACTTGGATGTTGACGGCATTGCTCCGAGAGATGTAGAGCACATTGTAGAAGGTTTGCTTTCCTTTTCTTTTGATTTCTGATGTGCAAGCATTTTGTGACAGTCTTCCTGTCTGGGTGCTTTATCCACGCAGTGTGCTTTAACAGGAACATTCTGGCTCTCCGAAGGATCTTGGTTTATGAAGCCAAGACCATTATTTTGAACAAAAGCTGCAATACCGTCTTTTTTTGGTGGACAGCTATTTGACCCACGTGTTGGAGCAACAGGTTCTACTGTCAGTGGATGCAATATCCTTTGTTTACTTTGTGGACTGGAGTCAATTTTGGAGACTGCAGTGCTAGAGTTCACCTTTTCACATACTCCATTATTCTCATCCAACGTTTTCTCCCTTTTGGTGTCTATGTAAGAAAAGGTATCAATAACGAAAGAAAATATTACAGTATGACATGCATGATAAAAAAGTACATTCATAGCCAGGATGTGTTAGATTCCATCAAAAAAACTGCCATCCAAATAAAGCTTTTCTGAAAGGGCTAAAAAACATCCTCTTATGTGGGTCTGAGCTCATAGGAAGAAAATGTCCAATATTTCCAACCCAGATATACACGTTAATAAATTACTTAACAGATAGTTATTCAGCCCTGTTAAAAGTTTAAAAAAAACCAAACCCCACAAAAAGCCACACTATTTCTGAATAAAAATATTTGGTAAGCGTCAACACAAGGATGTTCAAGACTATGGGCTAATGTAGTTCAAATGAAGTAGAAAAAGGGACTTCCTTGGTCATGGTAAACACCCATCTGAGTGTCCGTGCTTCAGAGAGTAGCAGTAATGTTGCAAATGGAACAGGACTCCAAGAAAAGATGGGTCTCGGAACAGTAACCTTCTACCCACAGGCTTGTTAAGACACAACAAGTAGGTCATATTGTGGTTATTCTACTAATTACCTCTGCTTTTCAACACATATGATGCTGCAAGAGGCACCTATAAAGGAAGTGAAAACCATTTTCTTCAGGACTTTGGGATTCTACTTGCACAAAGGACCTGTACAATCAGTGTTATTTTCATTTATTCTCCAAATTAGTTTGCTACTCAGTCCAGAAATACTGGGAGGATTTTGAGTCAGAATTCTGAACCAAGACAGTAGCAAGGTTTTGGTCTCAAGTGGAAGAAGATTTTGATGATTTGTGGTAAGGGCTCTGCATCTACATCTTCTTTATAGTTATGTACACCACTTCTGTAAATCCATTGGTGTCCACAACAGATGCCTTAAGGAAACCTTCTATCAGACAGATCCTAAGGAAGAAAACCTTCTCTAACCCTAACCCAATCATTCATGACATCTGCCAGCCATTTGGAAGACTCCCAGTTCAAGAGTTCCATAAGTCTGCTCATATTTGGATTTTGTCTCCACCAATTTCCTTTACAGGTTTTCTGTGTGCTCTTGCTATTGTATCGTCAGCATGCCAAAACAGACATGGTCTACTTTGACTCAATTATATATCATTGCATAATTATAATTCCATAATTAATGAATTATTGCCAGGGATTTTAGAAGTAAAAATCCAATAGTGTTTTGACCAACATGGGTCATTTTACTCAGCCACAGCTAGCTAACTCAGAGGTACCTATAGGTATATAGATACTTTGGATCATTCATTCCCAACTTCTAAGTATTAGAATAACCAAGTTCTACAGCAAATACCTTTGTTAAAATGTACATATACACGTACCGTCCAAAGACTCCTTGCTGTCAGCCTCGGCTCCTCTATTTTTAGGTGCATGCTTTGGTTTTGCACCCTTCTCTTCATTTTTATCTTTAGTCTAAAAAATACCATTGAACATAAAAGTAATCAAGAAGGTTAAAGGTGTCTATTTCCCAACGTATCACATTTGTCAAAGAAGTGAGACCCTAAAAAAAAGGTAGTAAGACCTCAAATCTGCCGTGATTTCATTATATGCTGTCTTTTCCCTTCACTAAAATTCCTGCTTTAAAATAAACAAATACATCTTCTACCTTTTGAAGCAAAATCGCATCATTTCATAGTTCTAAAATAATTCTTACTTCTCAAGACTGACTGTAATGATATTTCCCCAATATACAGCTACATCATGTTTTTTTAATCTGAGAGGGGAGGCCTTAGATGAAGAAAGGTAAAGTTCGTTCCATTTCTTTTTGACCAAAGAAAGATTTTTGTTTCACAGAAGGGATATCCTATGCACTGAAGAATATTAAAGTTTTATGGACAACTAGATACTCCATTAGACAAACCACTTGAGCAGTTCCATTGCCTGATTTGGGGAATATTCCAATATCTGGATCTATTTTTTTTGGCTTGAGCACATCTCTTCCTTTAATTGAAAAGGCACCAATTTCAGATGTGGGGTGTTTGTAGAATACCTTTTGCCAATACTGAATCCTTTCCCTACCAACAGTCCAACTTGAACATAAACCTAAGTCTGCTATTTGTCCTATCGCTAATAAAAAGCTTCCCTTCTCTTCCCTCCCACTGAAAAAGAGGAACTTAAATGTCACAGCCACTTTGGAGTACAACACTGAGCCTGCCTGTAATGAAGATCATGGAGAATGTCTGCAGAGGCCTTGAGTGGACCTGACAATCTAGTGCAATTTCATAGATGTCAGAAGTCAGAAAACTTTGAACCTGTAAAGCTCTTAATTCGTGGTTTATTGTGTTAATTTGGAGCCAGCTTGGCAAACTCTCCCCCTTAAATAGTCCCAAGGACTTTACTACATCCTGTTACTAAGTCAGCAGGCAGCTTATAAAAAGAAAAAACCAAAAGTGGCCCACCATACTTAGAAACACTGGATGAAGTCACCATTATGAGCTTGGGTGCATTGATAGCAGCTGTGAAGCAGAAACAAGCAAGTAAAGATTATTTTCAAAACAGCAATGCAATGCAGTCCTCAACTGGTATACCTATTCTGAAGTCAAGAGGCGAGAACAATATGGTATAGCGTTACCTGAGCAGCTTTGAAATAACTAGCTCAGGACCCATTTGAAATCTGGACACGGCAATCCGAACTCACCACTTAGGTTCACAGCAGACAAATTAGTCTGTGCCAAGCTCCATGTTGTCATACTACTACACTGTTTAAAGCCAGCTTTGGCATATCTACATTACACAGCAGTTGCTTCCATGACCACAGGACAGACATACCCCTAACATCTTAGTCCAATGTTATGGACAAGAAACAAATGAAGGGACATTGATGGTAACTTACCAAAACCAGAGCTCACCATAAAGCTGCCTGCCTGCCTGCCTGCCAAGAATATACTGCCATTTCTGTAACGGGCAAAAAAAAATAGATGGGATTCAGAGACCTGCACTCTATGCCCACCTCAGACCTGGGCTGCTGGGGGACTTCGGGCAAGTCACTTCACCTCTGTGCCTCAGTGTTCCTAGTAACTGTTCTGGCTTTCTTTACACAGCAGTTTGAGACCTACTGATGAAGATTTACTTAAGAGCTAATTAATATCAACACTATACTATAACTACGAGAGAGTACATGGTCACTGTATTTTATTCAGAGCCCTCCTAAAACACCCATCTTCTGCTAAATGTTTCACTGATAATCTGCCCAAGAAAAAAGTTTGTAAGTTAGTTAACCATTTTGAAATGGACCCTTCCCTGGTCAAGGTCCTCTGTATTTGCCTGTCCAATCTGGCTTCTAAGATTCCTAGAGCCACTATCACATCTGCCCCTAGATGTTGCATGGTGCCAAGCACATTGTGGACACTTTCAGGAATGGTGGCTTTTACTAAGACATGTCAATATTTTAAATACTTTTGTATGTTTCCAAGCAGCTGTTGCACAATTCCATTGGAACAGACTGTAAATAATGGCAGCATCCCCAAAACAAGAAAATTGTCCGTGCAATGGGTTGTTAATCTCAACCTCAGAGGAAATTAAGTTACAAAAACCTCCCTCACAATCTAGGACATCTGTCAGTCTCCAAAATAACAGGATTTTATGAGGACATGGACCAGCAGACCTATGTCAGAAACCCTGCACAACATTTTCCTTCTGTGTGCTGTTGTAGGAGTTCACATTTACATGCCAGAGTTTAAGTATTTTTTTAATGTTATTTTGATTTGAGCACCTATGAACTATAAAGCAAGAAGCATTCACAGAGCACCTGGGGGCAAATCACATCTCTACCACTCCCACGCTCTGAGATCCTCTAAAATTAACTAGCATCCCATATATGCCTCTTTGTATGGTTCTGTTTCTCACATTGGGACACAAACAGTAATAAAGACTCAGTATGCATCATGACTGAAATTTATTCCTATCGTGAATATCCATTCTCAACAATAAGGCTGCACAGGTGAAACTGAGAATTCAGTCTGTGATCCCCTGAGGTTGTATAGAAGTAAAAGCAGGTTTTAGCCCTTAATGGCCATCATGATCAGTCAGAAAATAGCATCCAATTCTATCAATAAATACTTTACAGCGCACAAGACAGGCAAGGTTCTTTGAGAAGATGTGATATCTTTTATTAGAGCAACTGAGTAGTTGGGAAAAAGTTCTTAGCAAGCTTTTGGGCACAATCACCCTTCTTCAGGCATAGGGAGTCTCTGCTGTTCTGAGTACATTACAATGTACAAGCCATTATTGTCCATTTAGGGCTGAACCTAACTTGCCCTCCATTGCCCAGGGTAATAGAGGGCAGAATTTGGTCTTTCAAGTTGAGAGTTTCTTGGCATACAAATCTAGTTTTACACTTGTCTAAGTGCTTACCACACTTCTGACAATACAGACATAAGTACCCTACCTTCTTTCCAAATAAATATAAGGACTAAGTCTATGCTTCGAGAAGCTTCAACTAAAAGGAATTGTAACAACTTAATAAACGGTAGCATTGAGACAGGAAAGTCTAAATATGCGTATGTGCATGCATCAAATAAGAATTTAAATCAGAATGTCTGGGACCCTGCCCCTTACACGGGAACGATCAAGAACAATAAAATAAAACCCACCTCCACGAGGATTTCAGTCAGACTCCCTTTCTTCCAGGGACAATGCCTTTCAGAATGAAATCCACTACTTTAGAATTTTTCAGTGTCTCTCCCATGAGTGCAATAACTTTATCCACTGTGTCAACCTTGTTTTCTATCTTTTCCAGCCTCTCTCTATGCTTTGAGGCATCTTGCTGTGTAGCTTTCAACAGCATCAACATTTCTGAGCGCACACTTCGGATATGAGTCTGATGAACACTATCCTCCGATTTTAGGCCTCTTTTTGCTGTCCCTGTCTTATCAGCAGGTGCTTGAGGCACTATTAGCTTGTTAACGCCTTTTTCTATGTCGTCCATGCTTTGGTTAACCTTTTGTAACTCACCTTTCACATCTTCTTGGAAATTCAATAACTTGTCTACTTTTTCAGTCAAAAGATTCAATTTTTTGTCCATCAGGCTTATATTATTCCCTCTTGCAGACTGCAACCTACTCATGACTTTTCCAAATCAGTCCACATGCTCCAAGTTACTCTCAGACATCATGCCCAGACAATAAGTTAATACCAGTGAAATGTAGTTGCCTCCATGTCAAAGGTACATACTAAAAGATTATTCACTGAAAGTTCATCTTCCTTAGTCACTCCCTTACCAAAGAACCAAGGATGAATTACTTTGGTTATTAGAGGTGCTCGAAGCAAGTCACTGGTCAGCCATTATGTGAAAAGACTTCATTTTTGTGTTATCTATTTCTTACTGCATCCTTTCAGTGACGGAGTTAACTTGGCACTAGACAAGTTTCTCTTGGGCCTCCTTGACGTCACAAAAACCATTTAAAATTCCTTCTTGAGAGGCTGTTGATAGGCAAGCATCTTAACAATTAACAAGGCCCATAGCGGATCTCTATAGGGCAATGCAATGCTTGCATGCCTCCCTTAGCTTTCTGCTATTGAAATATACTCTTTCAAAACATTTCTCCTTGCCACAAAAGGGAAGTATAAAAGTGAATTTGTCTGCTGCCATGCTAAAGCTTGGAAGAGTTCTGCTTTGCGTCATACATGTGTAACACCCAGCACAGACGCACGCCATCTTCAGGTTGGCTGGCACTTGAATTTAAAAATAGAGCACAATGACTGGTTTGAAATACATTATCTGGCACCAGCACGTCTTTGTCAATTGAAACGTCTAAAATTAAATTCTTTCTCCAGGGCCATGAAAGTGCACAGTGTAAAAAGTCTACAGTGAGGTATGCCAAAACGGCTTCCACAATTAGCAGCAAATAATTGGCCTAAAGTCCTTTATAGTTATGCTTTTGCGTCTGAAGTACATTTGTGTTAAACTTCAAAAACAATCTTTCACTGGAGACAAGAGAAACATCATTTTTAGGAACCGAGTATCTGAATTGTCCCAAGTACCTCACGAACAGCAATTAATTTACCTTCAGACCAGCCCTTGAAGAAACAGAACTACAATTATTCCTGTTTGGCAAATGAGGAACTCAAGCACTGTTAGGTTAGACAGATCTGGCCACAAAAGCAGTATGTGGCAAAACCAGGAACTGAATCCACATCTCTTAAATTCCAGACAGGATAAGGGCACAGACAGGTAATTACACACCCTGGTATAATGTGCATTGATTTTGTACACTTTGTTAACAGTTATATCAGGATAAGCAACTGCAAGATGTGCTCTGACCCCAACATAATTCAATAGTTGGCAGCTTGGGGGAACAATAGCTACCACAGGATACATGAAGACAGATGAAGCTTAAAATGGTGTAAGGTTTATCTCAACTGCTGCGCAAATCATTGCTCTTGGGCATTTGTGTTTTTCACTGTGATCTGGGATCATATTCAATAAGCTTCTTGTAGTATAAATTTAGTGTGCCATAGAGATTTCCCCCACACATTAGCTTCTTACAGTTTGACAAAGTTCAGTCTCTGCTATTAATTATTTTCTGCTCCCAAGTATCTCCTATCTGAGCTGCACAGAGATTTTCACTGGAGAATACATCCAAACATCATGCGATAAGCCAGCTAGTGTTGTCAAAGCCCCACTTGCAAAAAAGGCACCTAAAATAGAGGTAATACTTGGACTAAAAGGGTGCCTGTACACATGACAGGGGTTTAGTCCCCTAAATTGAAACAGTATGTTTTTAATTCTGATGATTAAAACCCCACCATTTCATAGTTTCTAGGGTCGGAAGGGACCTGAGCAGATCATCTAGTTCAATGCAGGGACTTTCATTACTCTCACTGCGAAGGATCTCCTCCCCCCGCCATGGAGCCTGCTTGCCTCTGCTGTGGCCGGTGGGCAAGCTGCTGGTGGGCCAAGCAGTCCTTCCCCCTGTGGCGGCAGCACCCCGCCCAGGCGGGCTGCTCGCTGCACGGGTGCTGCCCCAGCTCAGGCTCAGGGAACAAGTGCATCAGGCTGGGTGCTGCCTCTGAGCTGGGGCAGCACCTGCCCACTAGCAGCCCACCTGGGTGACGCCAGGGGGCGCCACCACCACCAAACAGAAGGACCAGCGCCCCCCGCAGCACAAGGCCCACCGGCAGCTCGCCCCTCTGGCCACAGGCAAGCTCTGCAAAAAAACAAATCAAAGAAGATCAGGCTCCTCACTGCTTTTTTTTTCCCCCACAGTGGAGCCTGCATGATTGAGCTCCCAGCAGGCCAAGCAGCCCCTGAGCTGCAGGGGGCCCCAGTCCTTCCCTCTGTGGGGTTGGTGAGCCCTGGGGCCACCCAGGCAGGCTGCTAGTGGGTGGGTGTTGCCTCAGCTTGGAAGCAGCACCCACCAGATCTAACTCTTCCCTGAGCCCACCCCCGGGGAGCAGTACCCCCATGCAGTGTCCCCGCTGCCCTTCTGCCACCTGGGATCACGTGGGAATGGGCTAGCTTGTCTCTGGGGCAGCACAGGAAGGCGGCAAGAGGGCGGCTGGGTGTGCTGGCAGCCGGAGAAGGTGGCAGGGATGGTGCACAGGGTGCTGGAAGCCCCGGTGGGCTCAGGGAAGCATTGGATCGGGTACCTCCAAGCTGGGGCAGTACCCACCCACTAGCAACCTGCCCAGGCAGCCGCAGGGTGTGCCAGCACAGACAGAGGAACCAGGGACTGCTCGGCCCTCCAGCAGCTCGCCCCCTGACCATGGGAGAGGTTGGCAGGCTCCACAGGAAAGAAAAAAAAAAAAGGATTGGGACCCTCGCCACTTTTGCCTTCAGCCCACCTCTTCTGCCAGGAGGCGAGCTGTCAAATTAAAGGCTGCAATGTTACAAGTAACTACACTGAAAACTAAACTACATGAGAACGTGGCTTCATTTGCAACATAACAAACTTATTTAAATAGCCAAAAAAACCCACCATTTGTGTAAAGCGTGACAATATTAAACTGCAAAACTGGGCAATTTTTATCATGCGTATAAGCACCCAAAGACTGCAGAACAAGTCAGATTCTACTGAATGTGCTGCTGGGGTCAGTACTTTTCAGACTAATCAACTCTAGTTTCTGGAGCCACCTGCTTTCCATTAAAGGTCAAACTTAAAATACATTTGAGGTTTGAGATGTTTATCAGGTGATAATTTCTTCTACAAGCAAGGGAGGGTCAGTTCCCAATCATACTACAGATGGAAGGTTAAAAAGATACAGAATAATGGACCTTAAAGTGTTCATTATAGAATTCTACCTAACAATTAATTCAATAATGTTGCAAGAAAATAGAGTTTTAGGAACACAACATAATGATTAATGAACAGAGTGGGTAAGTTCACAGATCTAGGGAAAAAAATTATATACCCTCACTAGGCACATGTTCCCTGCAAGTAGATAAAAATGTACAGAAGGGAGAAAGCTTTTTTTCTTGCCCTAAGGATTTCTGCCCTTCTTCCCTTAACAGAGGTAACCTTAAGCTGTTGCTAGCAAGATTTAGCTTCACCCTAAAGTAAATGCATTCTGTGATTTAAAAGTCTTGCAGGTTCCAAAATGCTTATTCAATAACTAAAACAATCAGGAACTATTAGCATATGTATAATGCTACTCCGATAATCTAATTATATAGTAACTCAGTAGAACACACAGTTCCAGATTTAATTTAACACATATGAGATTTACATATAAAAGTATCTCACTGAGTTCAGATACTCTTCCATAATATTAATTAAATATATTCAGGAAGCATCAGACTCCTCAAGAAAAAAAATACTTTTCAGAGAAGTTGTCAGGTATACAGACACAGGCAGCTCAGTCCTCACAACAGCAACCTTTTAAACTTGGTATTTCCTGCCTTCCTTCAGAAGGAAAAAGGCAATTAGGTAAGAATACCTTTGATTAGGCCCATTTAAACCAGGCAATTTACAACAAATATTTCAAGATAGAGGTGTATGTACATACATAGTCTAGCAAGATAGAGGCCTAGCACATGGTCATTGGTTACTGTATGCCCGAGGCTGAATGTAAGGTAATGTAATCATACAGAAAAGCAGGTCTGGAAGGAACCTCCAGGGTTCATCTAGTCTAACATACAGACACATATGTGCACAAGACAAATCTAGCTACCAAAACTGCATTATCACAGTAACTGCACATGCAATTGTAATAAAACATAAATGTGACAGCACAATTGCGCACATGCATAAAACGTGACCCTAGTATTTGGATGCAAGCTTCAAAAATGAAACACCTTTACATGTTTATGTCAAAATAAGTACCAAAGTTAGTAATGTCCTTTCATCAGTTATGGATTATTTTATGTTATGTTATTATGGTCATGGACTAAGCTGTGTTGTGCTACCTACTCTCCAAACATTAATGGAAACAAGCACCAAAGACCTTACACCAGAAAATATGTGATTGGGTATAGCACAGCAGCACCGTTTTCAAATTCAAATTATGTTCAGTAAGCCAGTAATACTTGTCAAAGAGCTTGGTAAATATGGGACCACACCAGAGCTCCATGAACCTTTGAGAAGAGGCAGCTGCCCTAGGGCTCTAACAACAGCTGAGGTCTGTGGGGCCTATCCCAGCTCCTGTTCTAAGGGCACTATCAGTAGCACAATGCTATCACTCTTGCAAGCTGGCCAAGAGAAGCATCGCCCATTACATTCAGCATGAAAGAGATTCCAGGCTACAGAATATAGGCAAACTGGGATCAGCTAGTAAGCTAGGGGAACTCCTGGGGCTACTTTCATTTATAATGGACATGAAGGGACATCGGACACCAGCACAGAGAAGCCAGCAGCTCAAAGGTGACATGATGCAACTTTTGCCCTCCCCTCTCCATATTATGCCTGCTGTACACCCTGTGTAGAAAGGCAAAGAATCTGTCCCAGTATACTTACATAAAGCCTAGTGATGTCAGCTATGCAAGAAAGTACCAGGATAGTCCTGCTTCGTGTAACACAAACAGCTGGTGCTGTCTGACACACAGAAGAGCAAGACATGTTCGCAGCCTCTTCTACCCAGATAGGCTTGCTCAACCAACAGCAGTGCTACTTAACTCCCATCTCCCATGCATCTACATACAGCCACCTTATGATCACATACTGCACAGATGTGCAGAAGGGCCTGGGAGAAAAGACATGATTTGGCCCGGAGAGATGTTTTAAATGGCCATCACTACAGAGCTGTTAAGGTGAGCTGGGGCAAGGTACATGCTACATAGGGACAGTATAGCCAAAAGGTAAAGTACGTCTGGTTCTGGGTAGGACTGTCCCCACTTCCTTTTTAAGTGCACAAACTGAAATACAGAATAAAGGAAATGGTTCAATAGATTTGACTACTTATTTTGTCTTTTAAAGTTTCATACATTCAACCAGCAGGAATCCTTGGTTCTTTTCACTTTGAATGACAATAGAAAGTAATCTTTACCCATGGAATGTATTTACTGCTTAACTTTTGCATTTTGCTGAGGCTGAAGAAGAAAAGCAGTTGGTTCCTTTTAGTTACAAGTCTTTCAACTCAATATTTAAAATAAAATAAAATTGCCTGGCTTCGTATTGTACATTATTAGACAGCGGTCTTGGGATAATACAAAATAGTGCTATTACCATAAAAAAATGAATGAATGAAAATTGCCTATTAAACTCACTT